AGACAGACAGACAGACAGACAGACAGACAGACAGACAGACAGACAGACAGACAGAGAAAGAGACAGAGAAAGAGACAGAGACAGACAGGCGGACAGACAGACAGACAGACAGATAGATAGACAGATAGACACACAGACAGACAGGCAGACAGACAGACAGTGACAAACATTGAGAGAAACAGTGACATTTCGACTGCATAAAAAAGTACACTAAACACCACAGGATATAAAATCCACCAATGGTTTTTTTAAAGGCTGGAAAGTAAACTTTCTTTTAAAGCGGTGAGGAGATGCGTGGGATGGAGATTTATGAAAAAAAACAAGAAAAAAACACGAGAGTGGGAGGGGATTGAGGAGGGGAGGGGAAGGGGTGCCGAGTGGATAAAAGAAAATGTGAGTGTACAGAAGGCTGCATGATAAAGAATCGTAACCGTTTGCCAGCTGGTAAGCCAAGACTCTAGAGATAAAACGAAGACTGAAGCGCAGCACCTGGGGTAGGATGTCTGCTTGGAATGAGAATCTGACCATTTGTTTGTCTATTTGTCTGTCTAACTGCTAGTCGATCTGCAAGATTAACTGTTAGTATGTCTTTCTGTTTATCTGCCAACCTAACTGTATGAATATATTTTTGTCTGTATGTCGGTTTGCCTGTGTGCCTCTCTCTGTCTCTCTCTCTGTCTGTCTGTCTCTCTCTCTCTCTCACTCTCTCTCTCTACGCACGCGCGCGTGTGTGTGTGCGTGTGTGCGTGTGTGTGTGTGTGTGTGTGCGCGTGCGTGTATGTCTGTGTCTGTCTGTCTGTCTGTCTGTCTGTCTGTCTGTCTGTCTGTCTGTCTGTCTGTCTGTTGTCACTGCCATATCACCACTCTACTGTCTGTCATCATTTTATTTTTGCAAACAAACAACGATTAACTTTTATTTATATAGGTCAACTCCCAACATGACCTACTTATTGCTGTGGGTTTAGTGGCTTACAACTCCGTAGGGAGCACATAATCATTAGTCAGGTCTACTCGCTGTTCTCGACAGTGCTCTAGTTTCAATGCTTGGCTGACTTCTGAAGAAATCATTTTTAAGGGTGATTGAAATACCAGAAAGTGGAAGCTGATCAACAGCGTAGCTCTCATGTCATCGCTTTAAATGGGAAACAACAAATACACCGTTGATAATTTCCATCCATACTAAGCATTGATTTCCCTCACACATCTTGGCTGTTTTATTTTATTGTTCAGACAGTAGGTACGAATTTACCTATTATTGTCCCCCCACACAAGTTGTTCCAGAAGGCAGATATTCAAATCTGGAAGCTGTAATTATGTTTGAGAAGTCCGGTCTAAAACTATCATTGTCTAGATTTTTTTTTTTTTTAATGAATCCGATCTTTCTAAAAAAAATTTTTTTTTAAAAGATACCAATATGATTTGCACATTCTGGTTATAATTTTTAGAACGATAGGACGTGCATTGGTAGAAACAACATATCTTTGTAACATTTTCAGCAACCCCACATTTGGAACATACTCCCCTCCCCCTCAACATGATATCGTAAAAAGTATAACTAATACCACCACCTCCACCATTACAACAAAAACAACAACAGCAAAAAACAACAACAACAACAACAACAACAACTGCAGCAGCAGTAGTAGCAGCAGCAGCAGCAGCAGCAGTAGGAACAACAATAACAATAACAACAACAACAACAACAACAACAAGAAACAAGCTAGCAACAAGCAACAAACACTGCACCATAAACCCACGTAAAGTAAAATGTTGAGAGAAAAAACCCGCACGACTCTAAAAATTATTTAAAAATAGCAGCAAAAGTCAAAGCAACAAACGCTACATTTTCTTTCACAACAGACAAAATATATCAAACCATTACCAGAACCTGAGGTATACCCTAAATGACGCAGATACATGATCTGTACCTAAGCAACTACAATTTTCTTACCACCTATGGAGTGTCAGAAAGACCGTAATAGTTCCACAGGAAAAGTATTGATGATAATCCAACACAAGAAAGGAAAAGAAAGTATACACAGATTTACGACGCCAAGATCACCCCCGATCTAAACATCTGGACGAAAGCGTTTTCACGTAAATCCCTGCCGTTGTTAATCCCATCCGAGGGCGAAAGAACAAAGAAAAACCAAGTGCCGGAAACAGGTCGATCTCTCACTCAGGTACCAGAAAGATGGTGGCGACTAAGGACCATACGCCAACCAAGCACAAGCCAAAAAATGTGATGACCACAACAAATGTATTAGCGACGAGCACACATTCACTCACTCACAACACGTGCAAGCACGCAACGAGCACAACACGAGCCCGGTCGTGCGTTATTATATATATGTGTATGTGTGTACCGGACTGTATGTATGGCCCGGAGTCTCACAGGTAAATTTCCTACTCGCGAGCTCCTCGCTGTGTACTCACTCTGTGCAGTCAGTACAGACACACGTGCGCATACAGGAGCGATGTGGCAGTACCCTGTAGTTAACC